CAGGTGCACTCGCCGCGTTATCTCGCGGATCAAGACTGGTGCCACCCTCTTGGAACGAAGCTTCTTGTGGACACACAGGAAATTGATCTCTACCATCTTCTTCTCTCTAAGGGGAGGGAAGGGACAGGAAGGGAGGCTGGGCTCCAGAGGCTCCAGGAAGGTGTGTGCCTTGCCCCCACCTGCGTGACAGTCGGAATGGCCACCTCGCAGACCACTTCCCAAGTAAAGCAGATGCCAGCACACACCTCCCTGTGCGTCCCCAGGAGCAGGCTGGGTGGCCCTGAGGTTTGTAAGAAAGTGGCACAAGGACCACCCAGAATATCTGTGTCAGGGCTGCTCTAGGGAGCCTGGGGTCCTGAGTCCCACAAGAATCCATAGCTCTGAGCCAGAAGGCCACAGCACAGAGCTGGAAAGATGCCAGAAGGAAAGAGATTGGAGGTCCGGCTCCAGGCCAGCAGTGAGCACTGAGCACCTGGCCCTGTGACTGGTGGGACTCAGTGAGCAGGTAGCCATGAGGGGTCCCTCTGTGGGCCCCGTCCTCTGCTGGGACCAGCACTAGCTTCCATGGAGGAGCTCAGAGACCCTGGCTGGCAGTGATGGCAGGGGTGTTGTCCCCAGACCTCACCCCACAGGAGCAGCTCTCCTGGGAGCAGGGGCAGGCCTCAATAGACCCCATGGTGTGACAGGTGGGGTGCTGTGCTTACGTGTCATAGATGTGGATGTTTGCTGGGATGGCACTAATAAACCCAACCAGTTTCCGACTTGAGACCACTCGTACCCCGCAGTGCCACTGGGGAAGCCAGCCAGGTGGCCGCAGAGCCCTGGGAGAGAGATCGGCGGGCTGTAGTCCACGTGACAGCCATGGCCACCCAGGCTCCACAGCCACGAATGGTTCTGGCCCAGTGCTATCCCTGTCCACCTCAGGGTGAAGAGCTGAATTCTTAGGGCCCAGACTTTCCAGACCCTGGACGGAGGCGCCCCTGCCCCCTCTGCTCAGCCCACGAGTCCCCGCCCACCCACCGGAGGCCGTGCTCACAAGGAGGGCGTCACACCTGACCCGGCCGCGTGCTTCTGCCCGTGTGGCCTGGAGCACGGGTCTCAGGCTGGGAGGACCCTTTTCCCGGCTGAGTAAGGCTGGCTGCGCCCTGGAGCTGAGCTCCGCCTGCCCCTCTGTCACAGCCTCTCTTGCCGGCCCATCCTTGCTTCAGAAGTCCCTGCCAGCTTTACCTCCTCTTCCTGGATAAGAAGCATGGCCCTAGCAGGCAAAGCCATGGCCAGACACCTGCATGTGTGTGCAGAGCAGACACAGGGACCCTCCTGCCACTTTCGAGTCTTGGCCAGTCTCACCCCTCCTGGGCTTTTTCCCACCTTGCAGGCACCCTGCTGTGTGGATGGCTCTGCCAAGACCTCCCTCGGCTGTCAGTCTCTGAAGAAAGAGCCCATCTGGCACCACAGAGAGCCGGGCTCCACAGCACTGCACCCACTGTCTACTGCAGGATCCTGGCTAGGTGGGCACTGGTGTCCTGCTCCGAGCTCTTTGCAGTGCTCAGAGGCCCTGGCTGGCAGTGATGGTGGGGGGTGGGGTGGGGGTCTGAGCCCAGACCTCACCCTACAGGAGCTCTCCTGGGAGCAGAGGCCAGGCCTTGATAGACCCCAAACCTGCTGGTGCCTTCACCATGGACTTGGCAGTTTCCAGAACCAGAAGTAAATGTCTATGGTCTCTACATTAATCAAACAACCAGATACCCAGGAGAAAGCCTCAGCTCACCACAGGAGAAACTCCGGAGAGTAATCGAAGCGGAACATGTTGTCGTCATCCTCCACATAGTTCTCATTCAGCAGTGTGTACAGTTCTTTCAGCTGTGGAGATGGGGGGTCACCTGGGGCTCGGCCAGGTGGGGCCCCCCACAGCTCCTCAGCAATAATGGGCCGGCCCCCAGCACCACTCTATGTTCTACTCCTGGCCACCTGGCTCAGCAGGGACCTTTTTGTAATAAGCTTCCTGGCTCTGCTGGGAAGTGGAGCCAGCAGAAGGTGGAGTCGTGGACAGGGGCTCACATCAGCCGAGCACCACTCAAGAGACAGATTCCATTTTCTGTCCCACTATGTCTGGCTTTTATCCCGTGGCCCAAGTAAAGGCCTTTCATCATTTTTCTGCCTTCCCAGCTGCATCCATCTGTTGAGCCAAGTTTTCTACTGAAAAATTCTGCTCGTGGGCTGGGGCCACAGCAGCGCACACCAAGGCCAGGGCTTGTGCGCAGCACTGTCAAGAAGAAAGCTGCTCACAGGCCATGTGAGGTCTCAGCCCCTGGGAGGCTGAGGCAGGATGGCAGGACTGGGGGCTGGGGCCACAATGCATTGTGCTAGTCAGGGTCCAGGGCAGCCCCGGCAGCAGAGAAAGGCCTGACTCTAAACATTTTAATTGGGCTAGGGAGATAGCTCAGTGGCACAAGTGCCTGCCTGGCAAGCACAAGGTCCTGAGTTTGATTCCCGGTATTAAAAAAAAAAATTCTGTTCATATTTTCATTATTCCTTACAGGGGAAACAAATTTTCTCCTGTCAGAAGAGGTTCTGGGGGTGCTACGGTAGAAAGTGGGGGAGGGACCGCAATTAACAGGCCCTGCTCTTTGGTTAGCTGATGGCTAAGATGACAAAATGAATTTTAAAATGTGAGTGAAAAGAGGTGTTCACATGGACTTTGAGCAGGGTTGCACATCCCTGTAGTCCTAGCACTCCAGGGGTCCAGACCCTAAATTCAAGCTCAGCTGGGCAGGACGAGGTCTTAAAAAATAAAATAGGCTGGGGACAGAGTTTGGTATGAAGGCCTGGATTCAATCCTCAGTACCAAGACAAAAGGTGTCTGCATCAGGAGTGATGGGGTCCCCCCGGCTCCCCAGGGCACAGCAGCCACTTGGTCAGTTCAGGCCCTGGGGAAAGATGCAGGCCCCGGCCTACTCACCACCCCCCGGTCACCCAGGTCCAAGGCATCCCAGGTGAAGCCCTGGGGCAGGGTGTAGGGCTCCTGGCGGACGTGGTCTTTGTCAGGTTCCACGGGACCGTGGGTGTTCACCACTTCGCCTGGAAAAGGAACACAGCCATAAGCCTCTCGCCTGCTTGTCGGGGAGGAAAGAGTTCAGCTCAAAACTTGACCACATCAAGTTCCTCCTGTCCCCAGGAGCCCCACAGCTGAAGAACACCCTGTGCTTGGCAGCTGGGTGCCTTTCTCCAGCCACCCTTAGTCCCTTAGCTGCGCACCAGTGCGTGGCAAGACCTCAGGACCACTGCTACATCCAAGGACACTCATTCTTGGGAATGCCTCTAAATCTCTCCTGGGTTCCCAAATGGGAAACATTTATCTCTTCGCTCTGGCTGCCTGCCTCCCAGGTTGAGAGAAATGCTGTCCTCTGTGGCCAGCACCAATCAGAGTGGGTCTGAGAGCGGCAGTAACAAAGCTGTCTACAGTTGGGCACAATGTGCTGGCCCCTTCCCGAACCGGAGGGTGGCTTCCAGGCGCCAGGCGCAATTCTGGCCCCATCAGCCTTGGCTTCCTGCAGTGCGGGCCAAGGATGCTGCTGCCAACTCAACTCTCAGTGCTCCAAGTTCACAATGGCCTGTGGGCTGAGTCCCTGCCTGCCTGGAGCTGCCGGGAAGGCCTCTCCCTGGCCAGCTTGCCAGCCCCCGTGGGCATGTGGGTGCCCAGAGTGGAGGGGAAAGCGCACCAGCGGAAGCCCAGTGGCCGGGCCAGGCAGGAAGGCCCCTGGGGGCTGCTTATTCACAGGGAACAGGCGAAGGGGTGACAGCTTAGGGTTGCATTTCATACCCAACATTCACTGAGTACTTTTTACATGAGAAGTGCTTGGCACAGACCTCTTGCTGGGCCCCGCATCCTGGCTTCCAGTTGCTCCTCCCAGAGCCGCCCCACGCCAGGGCGTATCTCACAGGGGTGCCTTACTTGGGAATGGCACACTCAGGACCGTGGCCTGCACTCCAATGACAAGGGCTCTTGGCACCCCAGCAGCGCAGGGGTGGCGGGTGGCTCTGCAGAGCATAGCAAGGTTGCAGTTATCTTGAGGTACTTGGAAGCTGCTTTAGTAAAGAAACCCCTGACTCTCAGTGGCTTTCCTTCTGTACCTTCTGGCCTAAAACTCATGTACTCCTCAGCATTAAAGACCCCAGAGCAGGTCTGTAGTGCACCCAAAAGGCCTTAGAAAACGTCAGAGCACAGGAGCAAGCAGGGGACACGAGGGGTGGCAAGGCTGCTCTCTGGCCCATCGTATGTTAGACTTCACGACGGTGCAAACGCAGGGAGACAGCTCAACAATCTAAGAGCCTGCCTGGCAAGTACAAAGACCTGAGTTTGAATCCTGGTACCACATGTCGCACTGGCCCTGGGACCCCAGGCACACCAGAAGTGGGCGTGGTAGCACACACATCTATAATCCTAGTGCTGGGGAGGCTGAGACAGGACGAGTCTAAGCTACTTAGTGAGACCCTATATCCAGTAAATACATATACACACACAAATTCCCACAAACATTAAACCTGGCCAAAACTGTGAAGCAGTCTGAACACTCGGGAGGGCAGCAGCTGCCACAGCAGCCCACAACCACACAGGCGCAGAGTGCGAAACCGCATCCTCTGGTGCCTCGCCCTGGACATAGCCACCCTGGGCCCCAGGCCTGCAGGAGGCCTGGCTAGGCCTTGCAGACCGCTCTGGCACTGCCTCAGGGAGCCTCAGTGGGCTGGTGATATGCAGCCACCCCTCCACAGGGCCTCTCTAAGGTCCTGGTGGCAGGGCCACCTGCACGTTCTGCGCCATTCTATCCTGACTGTCCCCAACCTGGGATCTCCTGACTTTACAATGATGCCAAAGCAGAACATGCTCCACAGAGCCTATACTTCAAATTGCAAACTTTCATCTCTCCCTGGCGTAGTAAGATGCAGTATAATGCTCTGGTGATGCAGCTTCAGGTCAGCCAGACCGCCCCAGGGGCAGATCTGGGACATCCAGCGCGCCACACTGTGAGCTCTGAGCATGCCATGTACTGCTGACGTGTGGTATCAGGGTGCATCGAAGAGTACCTGGGCATGTGCCCGGCAGAAGGAACCCTGGCAGGGCCCTTGCTCTGGGAACAGCTGCCATTCCCACTCCTGGTCTCCGGCCTGGCTCTGTCATGTCGTCAGCAACCTGTGGTTACTCACAATAGGAGTCAGAACACAGGCTTCTGTGACATTCTCTGGGACACACAGGAAACAGGAACTAAGCCCTCCTTCAATGGGCTCAGAACCATGACTTAGCCTTTCCAGAAACATTCTGTCACCCGCAGTCCCTGAAATGAGCCCTCAGGGTTAGCTACAGCTCTGGCCCGGCAGGCACCTCCAGTTTCATGAGCCTTTTCTCTTCCAGGCTGCTGCTGACTCCTATCTGGTACTTGGAGCACGAGAACCAACTGAGTAAGTTCCCACTGTGTGCATCAAGCTTGGTACTTGGAGCACGAGAACCAACTGAGCAGGTTCCCACTGTGTGCATCGAGCACCTGTCAGCTGGGGGACGTGGGAGGAGGTTGGGAGCTGCCCAGCCTGCGATCACACACCGCACAACGAACGAGGCCATCACAGGACGCTGAGGGGAAGGCTGCCTGTGGCAGACAGTCCATGCACACATGTTGCTCCTTTGTGGATCGGTACTGGAGACTGAGGACTCAGAGTTTCAGTATGCTGCTGTGAAACAATGAACTCTTTCAACAACACAACAAGTCTCCTATCCACCTTCGTAAATCTAAGTACAACTAAAACCACAGCTGAGGACCTGCAGGCCTTTCCTGGCCTGCTACAGCTCAGCCCTGGACCATAAGGAGGCAGACGTGTGCCTTCCTCTTATGGCACGAATGCACATACCCAGTTTGGGGACAGGCTGCGTATCCCAGAACTGGTAGCTTCGTTTTCTGGCCTCTTCCATGGTCTTGGCAGGTCCCTGGCCCACTGAGAACAGCTCAATGGCCTTCTGAATTTCCTGGATCCTTTCTGCTGGCAAAGAGTTCATCTGGGGAAGATGAAGTCAGGGGAGAAAAGCACCGCTGTGTCAGTAAGACTTCCACTTACTCACTGAGCTCACCGGAGAAGGCACGCAACTCCAGGAAGGGGTACGACCCTGTCCTGGTCACAGGCCCAACACAGCACCACCTGAGACTGACAGCATCACTGTGGAGTTCTCCCCTTAGGTCTTTATTGTTTGAAGACAAAAATGCTCAGGGCAAATTTTCAAAGAATGCAGGAATGTGTAAGACTCACTGAAAGTAAATCTATAATCCCATCCCTCAAATACAATTGTTTTTTTGGGCATGTGTGTGCGCGGAATTTCACTATATGCCCAGGCTGGCCTCAAACTTGTAGCAATCCTCCAGTCTCAGCCTCCCAAGTACTGGTATCACAAGTACATGCCAGCACACCTGGCTTCAAGTATGTTTCTTGTCACCCAGCCAACCTAAGAAGGTAGGAGACATACAATTCTAGACCTATTTGCATGGAAAGTCCAAATGCTTCCATACAGGCCAGGCATGATGGCTCACACCTATAATCGCAGCACATAGGAGGCTGAGACAGACTGTTGGGAGTTTGAAACCAGCCTGAGCTACAAAATGAGCTCAAGGCCAGCCCGAACTACAGAGAGAGACCCTGTCTCAAATAACAAAACACCAAAAGAGATTATATGACACTAAGTCTTTTAAAGCGCCTACAAGGGCTGGTGAGGTGGCTCAGTGGTCTGAAGCACCTACTTAGAACAAGCTTAACAAGGAACAGGGACCGCGGTTCGGTCCCCCAGCACCACATGCCGGCCAGCCCCGCCCCCTGGTGGGCTGAGCTGGACACACACACACACACACA